CCCCAAACCAGGAAGCGGTAACCTCGGTTAGTTGCAAGTTGGGGACTGGAGGAGATTTCACCAAAGCCGGTATGACGGGTGAGGTGTACACTAAAGCATAGCCGAAACTGAAATTCCCCAACACGGCGGCGAAGCAGGCAAGGAGGAGACTCTGGTTTCCAACTGTCCTGGGGGGGAGGGGGGGGGAGAGAGAATAGGAACCAAAGAGAATGGGCTGAAGGCAAAGCGTGAATCAGAGAGACACTAAATGTCTTTTAAACACAGAATGCCGAATAAGAGAGTTGGAAGGGACCTTGGAGGTCTTCTATTCCAACCCCCTGCTTGAGCAGAAGACCGATATACCGTTTTAGACAAGTGATTGTCCAATCTCTTTTTAAAAGCCTCCAGTGTTGGAGCATTCACAACTTCTAGAGGCACTGGTTAATTGTTCCCCATATCAGGAAATTCCTCCTTAGCTCTAGGTTGCTTCTCTCCTTTGTTAATTTCCACCCATTGCTTCTTGTTCTACACTCAAGGGCTTTGGAGAATAGCTTGACTCCCTCTCCTTTGGGGCAGCCCCTGAGATATTGGAAGACAGCTGTTATGTCACTCCTAGTCCTTCTCTTTGTTAGACTAGGCATTCCTGCCACTGTTCCTCATATGTTTTAGCATCCAGTCCCAAATCATCTCTGTTGCTCTTCTCTGCCCTCTTTCAGGAATCTCAAATCATTTTATAACTTTCCTTGATAAGTTTCCATCCATTACTTCTCCTCCTGCCCTCAGGTGCTTTGGAGAATACATTGACAACTCTGCCCCCCTTCTTAGAATGGAATGGAATGGAACAGAACAGAACAGAACAAAACAGAACAAGACAGGACAAGAAAGAAATAGAATAGAATAGAATAGAATTGGAATTGGAATTGGAATGGAACGGAATGGAATAGAATAGAATTGGAATTGGAATGGAATAAGAATAGGAATAGGAATAGAATAGGAATAGAAAGGAATGGAATAGAACGGAAAGGAATGGAATAGAATAGAATAGAATAAAACAGAACAAAACAGGACAGGACAAGAAAGAAATAAAATAGAATAGAATAGAAAAGAATAGACTAGAATAGGAATTGGAATGGAATAGGAATGGAATAGAATAGAATAGAATAGAATAGAATAGGAATTGGAATGGAATAGGAATAGGAATAGAAAGGAACGGAATGGAATAGAATAGAATAAAACAGAACAAAACAGGACAGGACAAGAAAGAAATAAAATAGAATAGAATAGAAAAGAATAGACTAGAATAGGAATTGGAATGGAATAGGAATGGAATAGAATAGAATAGAATAGAATAGAATAGGAATTGGAATGGAATAGGAATAGGAATAGAAAGGAACGGAATGGAATAGAATAGAATAAAACAGAACAAAACAGGACAGGACAGGACAAGAAAGAAATAGAATAGAATGGAATGGGAATGGGAATGGGAATGGGAATGGAATAGAATAGAATAGGAATTGGAATGGAATAGGAATAGGAATAGAAAGGAACGGAATGGAATAGAATAGAATAAAACAGAACAAAACAGGACAGGACAGGACAAGAAAGAAATAGAATAGAATGGAATGGGAATGGGAATGGGAATGGGAATGGAATAGAATAGAATAGGAATTGGAATGGAATAGGAATAGGAATAGAAAGGAACGGAATGGAATAGAATAGAATAAAACAGAACAAAACAGGACAGGACAGGACAAGAAAGAAATAGAATAGAATGGAATGGGAATTGGAATGGGAATGGGAATGGGAATGGAATAGAATAGAATAGAATTGGAATGGAATAGGAATAAGAATAGAATAGGAAGAGAAAGGAATGGAATGNAGCCCTCTCTTAAGCGGTTTACAGAGTCAGCTTCTTTCCCCCAACAATCTGGGGGGAGGATGGAAGGCTGAGTCAACCTTGAGCCGGTGAGATTAGAACCGCTGAACTGCAGATAACAGTCAGCTGAAGTGGCCTGCAGTACTGCACCCTAACCACTGCGTCACCTTGGCTCAGATAAGGCGACTACATCTCCCAGAGGCCCTCAGTCAAAATGGTGAGGACTTCAACTCCCAAAATTCCCCAGTCAGCACGTGGGGACTTCATTTCCCAGAATTCCTCACTCAGAATTCCTCACTCACACACCTTAAAATTTACCAAGATGAACTTGGCCCGTAGAAAGGCCGGGATTTATTGTACTACATCTCCCAGCATCCTTCGCCGCGAGTCTTTCTGGGAAATGCTAGCATAGCCGGTGGGGGAATGGATTAAAAATTAGGGTGGGTTTTAAAACAATCCGACCCTTTCCTGCCTCCCCTTCTGGGTGGGTTTTGGGGCGCTTGCCGACGACCGTTTTCAGAAATGACGACGGGGTATGTTGCATCCAGACTCTGCCCAGTGGTGGCATTCAGACATTGCTTACCGGTTCGGGCAAACCAATAGCAGCGGCTGCTGGAGGCTCCGCCCACCCATAGTAATGCGCGACCTTCTGTGCATACGCAAAAGGGCGCTCACGTTTGCGTACCAGTAGCGAAGGTAAGTAATGCCCACCACTGTCTACACCACAACCCTACCCCCGCCCCTCCCAGTTCTATCCAGGGCTCGTGCAAAAGAGACCCTCGAGCTGACCTCAGGGTACGACCACTCGGGAGAGTAATCGGTCACCATGAAGAGCCGGCCGCTCTGCTGGAGCATGCCCAGGGTGCCTTGGGCCGCCGCGGCCGCCGCCGAAACCACCTCAGTGACGTGCATGTAGGTCATCGGGCTGGCGCCGTTCTCCGCGTTGCTGAGGTTCAGATTCGCTTGTTGCGGGCTGCAGCACGGAATGCACATCTCGGCCTGGCTGTAGGCTGCGCGGGTGCTGTCCTCCGCATGGGACAGCCCGGCGTTCTCCCCGGAGACCAGCTGGTGCCCGTACAAGGCGTTGTTTCCCCCTTCCACCGAGATGAAATCGTTGATCAAATCCGAAAACTGGTTGCTGAAGGAGATGTCGAAGTGATCCAAGCTGAGCTCCATGTTGGATGAGTTGTTCAAGCTCGGGTGGGCCACGGGGTAGAGGCCCTGCACCATGTTGCCCTGGAGGATGGGGAGGTTTCCCCCGTTCCTCAAGCTGTTGTTGGCCTCGGGCTGCATGTAGTGTTCCGCCCCGCAGGACTGGAGCTCCCCGGATTTGAGCAGGTTCTCGTTGCCTTCCGCCTGCGGGGTGGTCTCCATCGGGACCTCCCCTTCGGTCGCGATGGACGGGAAGTTGGCCTGGAACTGCATGAGTTGCAGCGAGGAGGTAGCCTCGATCCGGGCCTCCACCGTGCCGTTGCAGTTGGAGGTGTTCTGGGAGGAGGCCTCCGTCTTGACGTTGGGGAGGGCCAAGGGGGTGACGAAAGAGCTGCCGGCGTCGTTCAGGCTGCTGTGGGCGTTTTGTTCCAGGGGGATCGCTTTGCTGCTATCTTGCAGGAAGAAGCTAGGGGAAGGGGTCTGGTGGACGTGGGGACTCTGTACTGCTTGGTTAAACCCCGACACATAATCCTTGTTGGAGTCGATCGCGCTGAAATCCATCTGTTCCAGAGTTGTACTGGGGCTGAGTCCTCCTCCCGAAGGGAGGAGACTGGACGCCGTGTTCAAGGTAAGCGAGTTGGACGAGGACGAAGACGAGAAAGCTTCTTTGGACATCTGCTGCTCGAAGGACGTGTCTTCTATCTTGATCTCCTTGGCGAGGGCCGTGTTGAAGTTGAACCCCCGGTCCGTGGTGGGCGATTGTCGGATGTTGGCGTTGAGACCTTCCCCCTTGGGACCTCCTCCTCCGTACGTCTGCCCTTGCTTGGGGTTGTTAAGGAAGCAATCCGGGTCGAAATTCATCGTGGTTTCCGGGATCTTCCTATTGGTGTCGAGCGTGGTGGACAGGACGAGTTCTTCGGAGACGCTGGCGGGCAACATGGAAAGGCCGTCGGAGCTACTGGCGGTAGGGAAGGCGAACTTGTGGCCGTCGGAACTGACCGCCAGCACCAGCCCTTGGCCCGCCGCGTCGGAGGAGAGAAGGTGTTGGTTCGGCCCGGCGGTGGGGGACATGGTGTAGACGGCCTCGCTGCTGATATCGGACATGAAAACGGTGGCGTTCTGAGACAGGTTACCCATCACCGAAGCAACCGCCATGCTGGAGACGCCCGTGACCGCTGGACTGTCTGCTACATCCGGGTCGCTATTTAATCCGCTGCTGATGGAGACGGGAGAATTTTGGGTCGTGTCCGGTACTTCCACTTGGTTGGTAGAGGAGACTTCGGTGCTGTTCTGGTGCAGCAGGACGGGTTTGGCCACTTTGCCGTTCCTTTTCTCCCGGTTGCAGGACTTGCTGTGGCTGTGTTCGTTCTTGCCTTCCGAGACATCATTGTTCTGCACCTCCGAGTGGGCGCTGTAGCCCCCTGACCGCGGCTCGACCTTAGGGGAGATGATGCGGTGTTTGGCACTGTTGCACTTGTGATGCACGCTGCTCCCGGCCCCTGCAGCAAGAGGAAAACAAAGCGAGATGTGAACCGCCGCATTCAAAGCGGGCTGTTGTTCCGACCGAGGCTTCGTAAGAGTCGGAAGCCAACTCCTGGTCCCGACAAAAACCCCTTTTTATTAATGGGCTGCGAATTCTGCTCATTCACAAAGTCTTTCGAGGGAGGATTTACAGTCACAGACCTTATCTGGCTTGGAGAGCTGCCAGGCTGAGATCTGCAGAACTTGGCAAGGAGCCTCGGAGAGTCACGAACTAATTAAATGAATTAATGGTCTCCTGCAAGCTCCACTCCCCTGTCGCTCCTCTTTTATTTCCTCTGGGAAGGGCCATTCACCGTCCACTTGTGGCCTTACTTCCAAGTCAAC